CCAGCACTGGGCTCTATGCTGAGTGTGCAGCCTGCTTAAGACTCTGTCTCCCCTCTCCCTCTATCCCTCTGCTCCTCCCCACTCACAGTCATGTGCTTACTCTCTCAAATAAATAAATAAGCGAATAAAATCGCATTTATTGAAATGTAAATTTTGAAAGGAAATATCTAAATAATGAGAATTTGGCTTGAGAAATTTATGATGGAATCTAAGATAATTTCTAATAATTCCTTGTAGTACATAATAAAAAGATAGTATTTGTATGTTTAATGTATCAAAATGTTCAAAATCTAATGTCTAACTTATAATACATCTTTGAACTAGAAAGTATGAGTCCTCCAACTCTGTTGTTCTTTTTCAGGATTGTTTTTGCTCTCCTGGGTCCCTTGCATTTCCATATGAATTTTAAGGTCAATTTGCCAATTTCTGCAAAAAAAAAAAAAAAAAGCCTGCTGGGATTCTGATAAGGATTGCATTGACTCTGTAGACGAATTTGGGAGGTATCACCATCTTAACAATATTGAGTCTTCCAATCCATGAACACTTTCCATTTACTTAGGTTTTCTTTAATTTCTTTCAATGATGTTTTGTTGTGCTCAGTGTAAAGACTTGCACTTATTTTGTTAAACTTGTTCGTAAGCATTTTATTCTTTTTGATGCTATCATAAATGGAATTGTTTTCATTTCAGTTTTGGATTTTCCAATGCTAATGTATAGAAATACAATTGATTTTTTAAGATTATTTATTTATTTACTTAGAGTGTGCATAAGCAGGGGTAGGGGGTTGGAGAGGGGCAGAGGGAGAGAGAGAGGAAGCAGACTCTCCACTGAGCCAGGAGCCCTATGTGGGACTCTATCCCAGGGCCCTGAGATGGCAACCTGAGCTGAAATCAAGAGTTGGATGTTCAACCAACTGAGCCACCCAGGCACACCCCCTTAGGATTTTCTTTATGCAAGATGATGTCATCCACAAATATACTTTAACTTCTTCGTTTCCAATCTGAATTATTTTCTTTTTCTCGCCTAATTGCCCTGGCTACATTTCCAGTACAATATTAAATAAAGCAGTGAGAGGAGACATCCTTGTTCATTCCTCATCTTAGGGAGAAAGTCTTTCACCATTCAACATGAAGTTAGCTGTGGGCTTTTATCAGGTTGAGGATATTCCCTATTCTTCCTAGCTTATTGAGTGTTCTTATCATGAAAAGGAATTGGATTTTGTAAAGCGCTTTTTCTGTGTAAACTGACATGGTATGGTGTATTGCAGTGATTGATTTTCATATGTTAAACCAACCTTTAATTTATGGGATGAATTCTACTTGGTCATGGTATATAATCCTTTTTATATGTTGCTGGAGTTAGTTAATATTTTTTGAGAATTTTTGTATCTATATTCATAAGGAATATGGTATATAGTTTTCTTGTATTATCTTTGTCTGGTTTTAGCATCACAATAATATGGGTCCCATAGAATGAATTGGGAAGGGCGCCTGGGTGGCTCAGATGGTTGGGCGTCTGCCTTCGGCTCAGGTCATGGTCCCGGGGTCCTGGGATCAAGTCCCGCATCGGGCTCCCTGCTCAGTGGAGAGCCTGCTTCTCCCTCTGCTTCTCTCTCTCTCTCCCTCTGTCTCTCATGAATAAATAAATAAAATCTTTAAAAAAAAAAAAAGAATGAATTGGGAAATGGTCCTTGCTCCTCTTTTTATAATTGGATTTGTGAAGGACTGGTGTTAATTTTTTAAACATTCAGTAGAATTCTAGTTCTGGGCCTTTCTTTAAAAGTTTTCTTTTAAAAGGACTTCAAATACCAATTTCAGGAAGCTAATTTCATGAACAGAAGGTCTGGGAAGTTGACACTGCTTTTATAAATTACTTGTATTTCATTTCTTCTTTATCCCTGAAATCAAAGATGTGAGCATGCACAACTGGAATCCAAAGAGAGATTAATATATTATTTTACAATTCTGAGTTTCCAGAAATCTCAACAAATGAAGGAAGACCAGTAAATAAAATATATTGGCTGTATGGAGATCAGAATTCTAAAGCCCTGGCCCTTTCTGAATGTAGCTAGTTCTTTTGAATTTCAGTGTACAGATAAGTTCCAAGTAAACAAGTCCTTGAAAAATTCACTGACTTCCCAAATATCTTTTAAAAAATTACTCATGCAACAAATGTTGTTCAAGCATCTACTATGTGTGAGGCATTGTGCTATGTGCTGCAGATGCAACTCTGAATAAAACAGAAACAGACTCTACCGACAAGTTCCTTAGAGTCTAGTCAGGTTATTTAGTGTATTTGGGGGGAGGGGCCATTTAATTTCTCTTACTTTTTGAAAATTAGGATATTAGAGATCAATTTGGAAATAATTCCCAATAATGAACTTATTTAGTCCTCATAGAAGACTACTAAGAATTATCATTAACATAGGAAATCATCCCTTTCACCTTGTACCAGACTTTCAGTATGGGAATTCCAAAAAGTGGCCACAGTAGATAGTACTATACATTTGGCGCCCTCTTTGTCCTGTACTTAATATCCAGATAAAGAGGTTTTTGAACACTGTCTTCAAATAAAAGAGTAAAAGGTTTCCAATAGCCCAGAAATAAAAGCAACTTTGAAACAAGACTAAGGTGTAATTATTTCTGATCTTCCGCAAATTTAGTTCAGAGGATCTTTTCTGACTTTACTAAATTCTGTTCACTTTCTCAACAATATGTAAATCCAATGGCTCTACCAACTAAGTTATTAATAGTATCTGTTCTTTTATCTTCTGGGTCTAAATGAATGCTCAGCATATAGCCCCTCCAACTTTAGTCCTAGATCGTATACCATATTGGCCAAAAAAAAAAAGAGAGAGAGAGAGAGAGAACTGCCTTCTATATCTTACACAGAATATTTCCCTAGCTCTGACACTGCCCAGGATTAAGCTTGGGTAAATAAAGAGAAGTTTTGATCACAGTTCTTTGCCTTTTTCTTCTTAATGAAAATTCAGCTACCGTATGAAAGGAAGAGAAAAAATCTGACGAAAAGAGCCAGATTCAAACATCTCTATAAAGTGCTTCATCAGTGGAAGGAAATATTCTCTTTCCCCTGATTATTAAGGATTCATGCATTTGATTCTCAGTTATATAAAATGACAGCATTTATAACTACACTTTAATGTATGATTCAAGGCAAGTCAATCTTAAATTCGTTTTCTCTTTTGGGAACTTTCAAAATCATTGAGAAACTTTACTTTCTTCTAGTCACCAGTTTTCAGTTCTTGGAAGGTTCTATCCATCTGGATGAGAAAATGTCTCTGAGGAGAAAACTGATTTTTCCCTAATCAACTTCTCTAATTAGGAACTAAACAATTTGTCACTTAAATGTAAGTTTTTCTGTTTCACCCAAAATAGCCACAAAATGTGATGTTTTGGTTGTTTCCAGATTTTATCCATAGGTGTAGCTAATTTAGACTTTCACAATGATACTCCTCCCTCTTCTTAGGACTACCTATTCTTGGATATCTTTTAATTACATTATAGGGGGTAGAATACTGATGTGGATGGACAGTGTTTATCCCAGAAGGACCATATATAATCCTGAGCCATGTCAGATTGAAATCAGGAGGAGGGAACCAAGACAGGAAGCACAAAATACATATGTATTTCCTTCATATATCACCATCTAAATGCCAAGTGGGTATTAATCTAAATGGTTCTTCTTAAAAGATTTATTTATTTTTTATTTATTTTAGAGTGAGAATGGGGGCGGGGAGGGGCAGAGGGAGAGGAAGAGAGAATTCAAGCAGACTCCAGTCCCAGCATGGAGGCAGGGCTTGATCTCATGACCCTGAGATCAGGACCTGAGCCGAAACCAGCAGTCAGTGGCTTAACTGACTGGGCCAACTAGGCGGCCCTAGATATTAATTTTAAAAGTAAGATTGGATGGGACACCACTTTTACTATAATGCATTCAGAGATCATATATGTATGTGCTTCCTTGAAAACTTTTAAAAATGATGCTTAGGTTGGGACACCTGGGTGGCTCAGCTGGTTGAGCACAGGACTCTTGGTTTCTGCTCAGGTTATGATCTCACGGTCCTGAGATGGAGCCCTGCCTCCTGCTCCCAGCTAAGTGCAGAGTCTGCTTGAGATTCTCTCTCTCTCCTTCTACCCATCTCCCCACTCTCTCTCTCAAATAAATAAATAAATAAATAAAATATTTTAAAAATGACTCTTGGGTTGATAACATTTATATCTCAGAATTTACAAACTGAATTATCAACACATCAGTTGCCTCGCTAAACAGTTTTCATGCAAAATGGAAAGGCACAATCTGTTGTTCAAAATGCTCTAGGCTTAATTTTTTTCTTCAGTCATCATGACTGATTCTTCAGTCATCAATACTCTAGGCAAATCCAGAGTAATTTGCCTTATAGCCTATATTTTGTGTGCATTTTTGTCCATGTAAATGCATATAATATTGAAATATTAACTGCAAATATCAAAACAGAAAGTGAATTAAATGTATTACTTCTTCTGACTACTATGTCCTTAAAAACATGTTGTACCTTAAAGAAGGTACATCTTAAAGAAAGCACATTTTTATCTATCCACAAACCTCATTAACTACAAAGCTGCTTTAAATATATTGTAAAGAACAATATCTGACTGTATTATACAGGGTAAATTACAAGATTACTGGCGTGGAACTCTATCCACATTGCTCTGGATATAGAATTTGAGATGAGCTCCTTAAAGTAAACCTGTTAGAAATCATCATTAAAACAAAATGAATGTATTTTTGCTCACCTATTAGAAAAAGAAAAGGAGGCATTAAGACTGCATTAGTAAGAAAGGAAGTAGATGAAAAAAGAATATGCAAGGATTAACAACACAAAGTAAAATCCATATATAAACAAAATGTTATATCAACTAAAGATTCTTGATTTCAAAAGAAAACAACCATAGCCAAACACCTATTTTTTCACTATTCTGTAAATGAAACCTCAACTATCCTTAAAATTGGAGCTTTGCTTTAGTCTCAGTGTCTTGAACCAGGCCATTGGGAAAAACTGGCTTGAGGAACTTGAACTCATTGGTCCCAGATCCTTCTGTCAGACACACCTCGTACTGGTAGCTGTGGGACAGGGTCCCCGCGCCGCTGACGTCCACCAGGTGGCCCGGAAACGGGCCCTCGGCCACCGAGCAGCCGCCCTCCGACGCGGCCCGGCTCCTCCTGCACAGCCGCACCGCCACGAACACCAGCACCGAGAACAGGAAGAGCGACGACACCGACGCCAAGGCCACCACCAGGTAGACGGTGAGCGGGTCGGCGCGGGCCTCGGCCGCCGCCGCGTCCGGGAGCGGCAGGTAGGGCTGCGAGAAGCCGTCCACCAGCAGCACGTGCAGCGTGACGCTGGCCGACAGCGGCGGCTCGCCATTGTCCTTGACCAGCACCACCAGCCTGTGCTTGACGGCGTCGCGCTCGCTCAGCAGCCTGGCCGTGCGCACCTCGCCGCTGTGCGCCCACACGCCGAACAGCCCGGGCTCCGTGGCCTTGAGCAGCTGGTACGACAGCCAGGCGTTCTGGCCCGAGTCGCCGTCCACCGCCACCACCTTGGTCACCAGGTAGCCCGCCTCGGCCGCCCTGGGCACCAGCTCGGTGCAGGGCGCCGAGCCGTTCTGCAGCGGGTACAGCACGAAGGGCGCGTTGTCGTTGTCGTCCACCACCAGCACGCGCACCAGCGCCTGGCTGCTGAGCGCCGGCGAGCCGCGGTCGGCCGCGCCCACGCGGAACTCGAACGCCCGCAGCGCCTCGAAATCCAGCGACCTGAGCGCGAACAGCTGCCCGGTGTCCGCGTTGATGGACACCAGCGAGGCCAGCGGCAGCTGCGGGTCCTGGGGCGGCAGCAGCGAGTAGGTGACCTGCGCGTTGGCGCCCGAGTCTCTGTCCGTGGCGCTCACGCTGCCGATGTGCAGGGCGGGGCTGTTGTTCTCGCGCACCCGCAGGGTGTAGGCGGCTTGGCTGAAGGCCGGGGCGTTGTCGTTGACGTCGGACACCGTCACCGTTATGTTGTGCTGGGTTTTCAGCCTGGGGGTCCCCAGGTCGGTGACGGTGATGGTGATGTTGTACTCGGCCTGGCTCTCTCTGTCCAGAGCTGTGTTTGTCACGAGGGTGTAAAAATTCTCTATTGATGGTTTGAGGATGAAGGGGAGATTGTTCTCGATGGAACACATAATTCTCCCATTGTCTCCAGAGTCTAGATCAGACACACTGAAAACAGCCACCACAGTCTCCGGCGAGTTCTCAGGGATAGGGCTGGTAATTGAAGACAAGGTCAGTTCTGGTGGGTTGTCGTTCACATCAACCACCTGAACTATCACTGTGGTTTCTCCTGAAAGGCCTCCGCCATCCTTGGCTTCTATGTCCACTTCATAAGTATTCATAACCTCATAATTCAAGTATTTGACTAGCAGGATATCACCAGTAATTGGATTTAGCTGAAAAGTTTTGCGAATTTCTTCAGAAGCGTGAAAAAATGCATATGATACTGTCCCAAAATTTCCTGTATCTAAGTCAGAAGCTGAGACCGTGACAATAACAGAGTTAATGGGGCTGTTCTCTAAAATTTGAACCTCATAGAGTGACTGTGTAAATTCTGGGGCGTTGTCATTTATGTCTAAGACCAGGATGTGGATCTGGGCGATCCCCGACCGGGGCGGAGAGCCGCCATCCAGCGCGGTCAGGGTCAAAATGAGCTCTGGCTGCTCTTCACGGTCCAGTACTTTGTCCAGCACTAGTTGTGGGTACTTTCTTCCGTCCCTACGACTGCGTGTGATAACGTGGAAATGGGAATTAGGGGCGATCGTGTAGTTTTGGAGACTGTTTCTTCCCACATCCAAGTCCTCAGCATTTTCCAAAGGAATTATAGTTCCTGGTGGCGTGTTTTCTAAGAGTTTCAGCTGTATTTCATTTTCAAAGAATACCGGAGAATGGTCGTTTACATCTATGACCTGAAGCTCATTTGTAATAAACTGCAAAGGGGTTTGCAGTAATATCTGAAAATGCAGTATACATGGCTCTGTGAGGCCGCATAGCTCTTCCCGGTCCAATTTCTCATGCAGGAGCAAATCGCCGGTCTGATGGTTGAGCTGAAAATGCTGTTTGTTCCCTTTAGACACAACTTGGGCTCCCCTCACAGCCAGTTCCCCTACCCCTAGCCCTAGATCCTTTGCTAAGTTGGCTATTAAATAGCCCCTCTCTGTTTCCTCAACCACAGAGTAGCGTCTTGACTCAGACCCAGCCAGAGACCCACCCAGAAAAACAAAGAGAAATAGGACTTGCCTTTGTCTAAGAAAGTGCTCCCCTCTGGCCTCCATTGTGCTTTCGGCCATGTTCCTCCCGGAAATATTGCCAAACTAAGCTTCCAGCAGTGCTGGCAAACGCAGTCTTTTGCCTTCCAACCTTTGAGGAAGGTCTAGCGAATAATCCTTCCCAGGGCTCAGATTTGCTTGCTTAAAAAAAATCTGCCCAGGCTCACAATCCCTAGTTTCCCGAACTGGATCTGTGCCTTACAGAGTGCGCACATTGCCGGTGGTTTAATTCGCCTTCTTAGTCAACAGCGCCACCATGCGTTCTCTGGTAGCTTAAAAATCTTAGAGAAGGTGTTCTGTTGGGGCCGGATGGGTGTTTTGATTTTTTAATCGCTTATTCCCCTTATCAAACCCATTTGACGCTACTGGAGGAGGTTCTTGTGTTAAATAAGTTAAACAAACACAACGTAGGGAAATGAAATGTGCTCTTAAAAAAACAACCACTGTCTTTGGTAAGAGTCCTCATTTACATGTTTTTCCTGATTTATATGATTTCACTGGTAGAGCTACTCTTCCTGCCCATCTGCAATTATTACATATAAACTTTAAAGGATTTTGCTCTAAATGATGATATGCTTCATAGCCTACTTGCATTTTTTCTCTTATTTTCCAGATTTTGCAAAATGTGCATGAATTGCTTTTATAATCAGGAAAAAATGCTATGAGAAGGTGACCTCATACAAGGTGATGAAAAATTATAATAGGTCATGTCAGGGGGGATATTCAGAGGCCACAAATGCCCAGTTCTTTTCAAATCTTCACAGTCATTCAAGGAACACAGAGATTACTCCTTATTTCATAGTAATTTTACAATTACTGCTTTCATCTATATAAACTGTATTAACTGTTTCATCTGTGTAACTATTTTATCTGTGGAAACACGTATTTGTTGAGTTTGTAGAAGTTAGGTATATAGTGGTAACAAGACAAATCGTGTCTATATATCATAGTTTTCCATCTAATGGGATGAACAGACTTTAAATATATGTTCAAACAAACTATGAAAAGTGCTATATAGGAAATGTACTGAGTACACTGAAAGTATGCTATAGGAGGACCTGACTCAATGGGTGGTAGGTGAAAAACTTTCATCAAAGTTGTGCCACTTAATCTGGATGATGAAGGATAAGATGTTTGTCTTACAGGCTAAGTCTTACAGACTAAGACTGTAAAATGGGAAGAATACATATGAGAAACTGATACGTAAAGGCCTGCAACAGTAAAGTACAGCTATTCTAGATAATAAAAGGACAGTGTACCCAAAACTTCGTGTCTCAAGAGTAAGTGGGAAGAGAAGGATGGAGAGAGAAACTGTGGGCAAATAACAGACGCTTGGATTTTATTCTGAGAATAAAAGGAAGCTATTGCAAGATTTTAGGCAGAGAAATGAAACAATTCAACTATCAAGTGTTCAATCTAGCATCTTCACAATTACCAGGAATGTAACATGAAGGATCATCTATTAGGATTACTTTTAATATTAGTAATACTAAAAATAACAGCAATTATACTTCTATATCTTTATATTGTCTCATTTGATCATAATTTCAAGCTAGAGAAATAGCTGTTATTAGCATTTTGGGGGAAAAGAAATTATGTGACTTATCCAAGATCCTACTAAGTATTAGCACTGCTCTACACTGTGAATCTCAAAAGGACACCTTTAAAATTCATATTACAATTTTAATAGTAAAGCTCATGCAAATAAACATAAAATGACAGAACTTAAATATAGGCTGAAGAACAATAAGAACTAAAAATGTGTGTTAATGTATGGATCTGAAATTGAACTGCAAGAAATAAAGTTGGATGAATCATTTAGGGAATTATACAAAGAAATTTAAATTATAAAATAAAAAACACAATTTCCCTATATATATTCCTTAAGTTAGAACGCAGGAGAGGAGACTCAAATTAATCAGGAAGGGAGAAAGGAAAAATATATTGAAGGAAAGAGACACCAGGGACTGATAACTGCATAATCTTTCAATAATAGTGATCAGTTGAATTAATAACCAAAAATTATATATGTAATTCCTTTACATTAGGGAGCATTTAATTCCAGCAAAATTTTGTTCTATGAGTATTTTAGTGTCTTTAAATATCAAAATATCACAGGGTGAAATAAAGACACTTCTTTCTTTTTTTTTTTTAAAGATTTTATTTATTTATTTGAGAGAGAGAGAATGAGAGATAGAGAGCATGAGAGGGAAGAGGGTCAAAGGGAGAAGCAGACTCCCTGCTGAGCAGGGAGCCCGATGTGGGACTCGATCCCAGGACTCCAGGATCATGACCTGAGCTGAAGGCAGTCGCTTAACCAACTGAGCCACCCAGGCGCCCAAGACACTTCTTTCTTTCAATCATTTAGCCAAAACTTTTATTAACCTATAATCCTCCAATTATTGTGCTAATCATACAATAAATGGGGAGCTATTGGGAAACACATTCCAGAACCTAAAAAGAAAAAAAGTTATGAAAGCCTAGGAAACTGAAAAGGGAAAAATAGAAGTAGTGCAAAAAAAAAAAAAAAAATATGGCCACAATAAATCTTTTCCCCACAGGCTTATTTCCAAAATGGAATCATAAATGCTCCAAAAAAATTTTTTAAAGATTTTATTTATTTATTTGACAGACAGAGATAGCAACAGCAGGAACACAAGCAGGGGGAGTGGGAGAGGGAGAAGCAGGCTTCCCACTGAGCAGGGAGCCGATGTGGGGCTCAATCCCAGGAGCCTGGGATCATGACCTGAGTGGAAGGCAGACACTTAACGACTGAGCCACCCAGGCGCCCCAATGCTCCAAAATTTTTGAAAAATGCAATGCCAAACTACATTTGAAGTTTCTAAAATTTGGTCAAGGACAAAGACTTAGATTTATTTCCTCATATCTTCTGGAGTTTAAGGTTGTGCTCAAAGTTAATAGATGGCTTGTAATTTCCAAAATGGGTAACTTTTGAAATGAGCAGAGGTTTATAGGATTTTTTTGAAAGATTTTATTTATTTACTTGAGAGAGAGAATGAGATAGAGAGAGCATGAGAGGGGGGAGGGTTGGAGGGAGAAGCAGACTCCCCGCTGAGCAGGGAGCCCGATGCGGGACTTGATCCCAGGACTCGAGGATCATGACCTGAGCCGAAGGCAGTTGCTTAACCAACTGAGCCACCCAGGTGCCTGAAATGAGCAGAGGTTTAAAGAAAAAAAAAATTTTAATAGAAAGCATGAAGAATTACATGGCTTTGAAAACAACTGGACACATGCTATTTATTTAACTACATTTGAGAATATTAGTGGTTGACTGAGCACTTTTGATGTGAATGGTTTGTAGAATCCAGCAGTCAAGGTTGTCACAATTTCTAAGGAATCATAATCTTCATTATGGACACTTTAAGGAAGTACATATTTAGAAAAATGTGAGAGGTTGCTTTGTTATTAATGAATATGCATATATTAATGGTTTTAGTCAATATGAGTTAACAGAATAAAAGTTATACTAGTCTAAGAGAATATACAAACACAAATATTCTGGGTTGGAAAAAGAATAAGCTTATGTAGCATAAAACATTTTTAAAAAAATGTTTTAAATTTTAAGTTCTGCAAAATTACCTACGAACTGTGGAAGGTGAGTTTGGAAAAAGGTGCTCTAACTTAAAAATTAAAGCCTTCTGAAAATACAAAATTTACTTTCACACTTTAAGTTGAATTAAGTTACAGTGAGACTAATCAACAAAAAGAAAACAAAGGAAATTTGCATTCCTTATGCCACAAATGAACACATTTAGAAACACCAGTAACATGCACTAAATTAGAATAGGATAGCTACTTACCAAATAAAAAGAACCCCAATAAGCAAGGCAGTAAAAAAGGACTTTCCACAAATTAACTGAGACTAGGCTCAGTAGACACTTATTAATACTTAACTGAATTCAAAGTTATCCCTGAAACTGGGGTTTGCTTCATTAATCCTCTCTTCACCCAGACCAAGGAAACTGGGGAGAATTGGCTTCAGGAACTTGAATTCATTGGTCCCAGATCCTTCCGTCAGACACACCTCGTACTGGTAGCTGTGGGACAGGGTCCCCGCGCCGCTGACGTCCACCAGGTGGCCCGGAAACGGGCCCTCGGCCACCGAGCAGCCGCCCGCCGACGCGGCCCGGCTCCTCCTGCACAGCCGCACCGCCACGAACACCAGCACCGAGAACAGGAAGAGCGACGACACCGACGCCAAGGCCACCACCAGGTAGACGGTGAGCGGGTCGGCGCGGGCCTCGGCCGCCGCCGCGTCCGGGAGCGGCAGGTAGGGCTGCGAGAAGCCGTCCACCAGCAGCACGTGCAGCGTGACGCTGGCCGACAGCGGCGGCTCGCCATTGTCCTTGACCAGCACCACCAGCCTGTGCTTGACGGCGTCGCGCTCGCTCAGCAGCCTGGCCGTGCGCACCTCGCCGCTGTGCGCCCACACGCCGAACAGCCCGGGCTCCGTGGCCTTGAGCAGCTGGTACGACAGCCAGGCGTTCTGGCCCGAGTCGCCGTCCACCGCCACCACCTTGGTCACCAGGTAGCCCGCCTCGGCCGCCCTGGGCACCAGCTCGGTGCAGGGCGCCGAGCCGTTCTGCAGCGGGTACAGCACGAAGGGCGCGTTGTCGTTGTCGTCCACCACCAGCACGCGCACCAGCGCCTGGCTACTGAGCGCCGGCGAGCCGCGGTCGGCCGCGCCCACGCGGAACTCGAACGCCCGCAGCGCCTCGAAATCCAGCGACCTGAGCGCGAACAGCTGCCCGGTGTCCGCGTTGATGGACACCAGCGAGGCCAGCGGCAGCTGCGGGTCCTGGGGCGGCAGCAGCGAGTAGGTGACCTGCGCGTTGGCGCCCGAGTCTCTGTCCGTGGCGCTCACGCTGCCGATGTGCAGGGCGGGGCTGTTGTTCTCGCGCACCCGCAGGGTGTAGGCGGCTTCGCTGAAGGCCGGGGCGTTGTCGTTGACGTCGGACACCGTCACCGTTAGGTTGTGCTGGGTTTTCAGCCTGGGGGTCCCCAGGTCGGTGACGGTGATGGTGATGTTGTACTCGGCTCTTGTCTCTCGGTCCAGAGCTGTGTTTGTCACGAGGGTGTAAAAATTCTCAACGGAAGGTTTAAGGAAGAAAGGAAGATCATCTTGAATGGAACAAACCATTCTTCCGTTGTCTCCCGAGTCAGGATCTGAAACCCTGAATACAGCAATTATGGTCTCCTGCAAGTTTTCTGGGATGTGATCGATAAATGTTGACATAGTCAGTTCCGGAGGGTTGTCATTCAAATCCATCACTTGGACAAACACCACGCAACTTCCAGAAAGGCCTCCACCGTCTGTCGCCTGAATATTTAATGTATAAGTCTGAGTGGATTCAAAATCCAGTTTCTGTGTTAAAAAGAGTTCTCCTGACTTTGCATTTATTTGAAAAGTTTTGCGAATCTCTTCAGAGGCTTGGGAAAATACATAAGATACTTCTCCATAGGTTCCAATGTCCAAATCGCTAGCAGAGACTATGGCAACCAGGAATCCAATGGGGCTGTTTTCCGGAACTTGCACCTCATAAAACCGCTTTGCAAACTCGGGGGCATTATCATTGATGTCTAAGACTTCAATGTGAACCAGAGCAGTGCCAGTCCTGGGTGGAGTCCCGCCATCCAGCGCTGTGAGAGTTAACCTGATCTCAGCCTGTTGCTCTCGATCCAGTGCTTTGTCCAGCACCAGCTGTGGTAATACGCCGTCGGGACTGTCTTGTAATTTAAGATGGAAATAGGAATTGGGGCTGACTGTGTAACTTTGGAGACTGTTGCTTCCTACATCTAAGTCCTGGGCACGTTCTATTAGGAAAGTAGTTCCGGGAGTGATACTTTCTGAAATTTTCAAAATTATTTCTTTGTCTAGGAACACCGGGGAATGATCATTTACATCTCTAATCCGTAGCTCAGCCTGAAAAAACTGCAGGGGATTTTCCAATAACACCTGGAAAGGTAGCACGCATGGCTCGGCAAGGCCGCACAGCTCCTCCCGATCCAGTTTCTCATTTAACAACAAGTCTCCTGTCTGTCTATCAAAATGCAAACGAGTTTTTTTCCCTTTGGAAATGACGCGAGCCCCCCGTGCAGCTAGCTCATTTACCTCCAGCCCCAGGTCTTTTAACAAATTGGCCACAAAGGAGCCACTCTCCATTTCCTCAGCCACTGAGTAGCGCCTAGGCTCGGAAGCAGCCTGAGCTATGCCCAGTAAAACAAAGAATATCAAGACTTGCCTTTGTTTCAGAAAGCGTTCTTTTCCCTCTCCAGCCTCCATCGCCTTCCGGTCTCCCAGCAAACGTAACCCAGTTTCGGCTCGCGTTGTGGCGGACTCTTCACCTAGTATCTCGAAGGTACTGGGATAAGTGGAGACGCCTAGGGCCCCGATTTCCTGGGGCAAACACCTTAGAAACCCTCCCCTTCCTGCTTGTTTCTTTAGCAGAGCATCTGGCTTAAGGAGCGCCGGCTGGTAGCTTTCTTCGTTCTACTTTTAATGCTGCAGCGCCACCCCGCGTCCTTTCCGAGTGTTTATTTTATCTAAAACATTAACACCCCACTCCTTTCTTTCAGACAGAGGCAATCTAAATGGAATATTTTCATGTAGTGTCTCAACGTCTTATCTGCATTTCCAAAGACTTTTTCATTGCATCCATAATGACCATGGCAAGCATTGACAAATTTCCATTCCAGTTTCCTCACAGATCAAAGGGGTTCTTTTTAAATTGGAAAACATCAACTTCAGAAACTGGAAGGTAACTTCAGTCCCAGGATGAAAGGAGGCTTTGAGTAGGCAGTTCCCAGTCTTTATTTAGAGGATGGGCATGTGTGCGTCTGGGTGGTGGTTAGGTTACCATCCTCACACTCAAGAGAAACCAAAAACTATACAAACTCAGGGAAAGCACAGTATTCAAATAACATTCTCATGAATTATGAAATATTGTTCTTACTCATATATCTCTCCTGCACCACTCTCACTTCACATTTCCCTGAAATTTGACATATTTGGGCCACATGAAAATCTCCAAAAGCAGCTGGAAAATTTCTTCATATGAATGTTATCAATGTTTTTATTTTCTTTTCTAACAAATAAGGGCATTTTTTAAACAACCTCAAATTAGTTATCACATGTAGCAACGCTAATAATTTTGTAATATCAAATACTCAGTAAGTATTGAATTTTCTCCAATTATCTCTTTTAAATGTCTTTTTAAAGATAATTTGTTAAATCGGGTGCCGAACAAGATATACATGTTGCAATTTGTTGTTAGGTGTTTAAAGTTTCTATCTTTTTGTATTTAAAATATTTGATAAGGGGCTCCTGGGTGGCTCAGTCGGTTAAGCATCTGCCTTTGGCTCAGATCATGATCCCAGGGTCCTAGGATCAAGTCCGGGAACAGGCTCCCTGCTCAGCCAGGGAGCCTGCTTCTCCCTCTCCCTGCTGTTCCCCCTGCTTGTGCACGCTCTCTCTCTGTCAAATAAATAAATAAAATCTTTTTAAAAATAAAATAAAATACTTGATAAAAAGAAGTGTTATCAACCCAAAAAAACATGGAGGAAATTTAAATGCATATTGCTTAGTGAAAGAGACCAGTCTGAAAAGGCACACACTCTATTACTTCCAAGTACATGACATTCTGGAAAAGGCAAGAGTGATTAATATACATTAAGAAGATTAGTAGTTGCCAGAGGGAAGGAGGAGGTGAATTAAGAGGTAAAACACAGGAGATCTGGGGGTATTGAAACTTTTCTTTATGATACTGTAATGGTGGATACATGACACAATACGCTTGTCAAAACCATAAAACAACACAAAGAATGAACCCTAATATAAACTACAGACTCTAGTTAATAATGGATCAATATTGGTTCATTAATTATAATAAATGTACCACATTAATGCAAGATGTTAATACTAGGGAACACTATGAGTGAGAGAAAGTGGGTATATGGGAAATCTATCTGCTCAATTTTCTATAAAACCTAGAACTGCTCTTAAAAAATTAAGTCTATTAATTAATATTTGGGGGCACCTGGGTGGCTCAGTTGGTTAAGTGTCTGACTCTTGATTTAGGTTCAGGTCATGATCTCAGGGTTGTGAGACTGAAACACATATCAGGCTCCATGCTGGATGTGGAGCCTGCTTAAGTTTCTCTCTCTCCCATTCCCTTTGCCCCTCTCCCCTACTTTCATGCTCTCTCTTACTCTGAAAAAAAATTAAATATTTGTATTGAGAAATATTTCAAATATATAGAAAAGTTAAAAGAATTATACAAACATAATTCTACCTTCCACCCAAAATTAAAGCTTATTTTTTACAATATTTGTTCTATCTATTTTTAAATTCTACATACAAATACCCCCTTTTTTTGCTGACCCATTTGAAAGTGACTTGAAGACATCAGAACACTTCACCTCTAAATATTTCAGCAGGCATCTCCTAAGTATAAGGACATTGTCCTATATAATCATGATCCTACTAGCACACTTAACAAAATTAACAATGATTCCATAATATTATCCAAAATCCAGTCCCTATTAAATCTCATTATTTTTCCATTATTATTCCTCAATTTTCTTAAATTTTGGTAAGAATTCATATGCACTTCTGAGTTCCTTTTACAAATGCACTTTTTAACCACTTGTTATAATGTCTTAAAATTTTGTTTTTTAACCAAGTTTCATGATTGTATTAAGTGTTGAATCTATTTAGTCTAGAACAGTCCCCTTTTATGATATTGAATTCTTTAAAGTATCCAGACCTGTTGTCTTGTAGGATGTTATACATTCTGAATTTGTCTGTTTCCTTGTGGTGTCATTTAACCTGTTCCTCTAACCCTTGTATTTCCAGAAAACTGGAATGGATGATTTATTAAACATAATAATAGCATAACACTTTTTTTAAGCTCTCATTTATTTTCTGTAATTGGGTAAAAAAACACTGGGCAATCACAGATTCCTTTTCTTAACATTTAGAAAATAAATGCCTATTTGTATTCTAATATTATTTTTCTCTTTTCATGATTATGTTTATATTACTATTATAATAATCCAAAAATTTTAAATTCATTTCACAGGGAATGTTCTGGCACTTATCTTAAGGTGGAAACTGTGGGCCTGTGGTAACACTCAAACAATTTGCTTTTGACTCTATTAAGGATACAAACAACTAAGTTTTTCCATAATCTATCAAGATATGTATTTCACAAAGCTCAAGCAAGCGGGATTTCAAAATAAAGGTGACTTGAGCAGGGGAAATGAAGATGCTATTTGCTTTCCCCAGAACGAATATGCAACTAATTGTTTGGAAAGAGACACTTGCGTAAGAATCTTGGCATTTTTTGTTTCATGAGAATCATCATAGTCTATTAGTACAAACTGTTCCCTTGAAAAAAATCTTGCCCACGCATTGTCATGGGTTCTAGCCTGCCTTGAGTATATATTGGACTCTCTCTCTCTCCTACAGATACATATACATACATACATATATATGTATATGTTTTATATGTTTTTATATATTGTGTATGATTTTTCCCAAGAATCTCAGACATCTTCTCTCCCATTATTAAAATAGGCTACAACTTGTATCAGGTTTTGGTAGTCTTGTAGATGATTGCATTTGTACTAAGAGCATAATTAAAATTTCATTTTATTTGTTTTTTTAAATTTCATTTTATTTTAATTCCAGTATAGTTAACATACAGTGTTATATTAGTTTCAGGTGTACAATATAGTGATTCAACACTTCCATATACCACCCAGTGCTCATCAGGACAAATGCTGTCCTTATTCTCCATCACCTATTTCACCCATACCTCCCCTCTGGTAACCATCATTTTGTTCTCTATAGTTAAGAGTCTCTTTCTTGGTTTGTCTCTTTCTCTCTTTTTAAAATTACTTTATTTTTTAATTGAAGTATACTTGACATATGATATTATATTAGTTTCAGGGATACAACATAGTGACTCAACATTTATACACATTACAAAATAGTCACCACAATAAGTGTACTTACCATCTGTCACCATACAAAGTTATTATAGTATTACTGACTATATGTTCCCTATGCTGTACTTTACATCCCCACGACTTATTTATTTTATAACTGGAAGTTTGTACTTCTTAATTCCCTTCATCTGTTTCACTTATCCCCTCACCCTGAAATTTCTTTTTAAAAAGAAAATGTGCCTAAGTGTTTTTTAAGTACTAAAAACAATACAGAAAACAAATAATGAAGAAATCTCCAGATGTAGGGAGGGCAAAGAATATGTTAGGGGGAAAGAAACCTGAGAAAATAACTGACAACCAACAACTTTTCTGGTGAAGACCACTGCAGACCTGGATCTGGCCAATAGTAGTGATCATCCAATATTGTTATTGTTAAATTAACATGGAAATTGGGATTCAAGGTATACTTATGAATACTACTGTTTGTTTTTTTTTTTAAAGATTTTATTTATTTGACAGAGAGAGAGAGAGAGAGAGACAGTGAGAGAGGGAACACAAGCAGGGGGAGTGGGAGAGGGAGAAGCAGGCTTCCCGTGGAGCAGGGAGCCTGATGCGGGGCTCGATCCCAGGACCCTGGGATCATGACCTGAGCCAAAGGCAGACGCTTAACGACTGAGCCACCCAGGTGCCCCAAATACCACTGTTTATATACAAGTCCCGCCATCTTTATGGGCTTTGATTGCCTCAGGAATGCTCCACTGGACTTTTGGTAGCATTCTCAAAGTCCAAGAACACACTGGTGAATAATTATTTATATCCGTGAATCTCAACTCAACTTGGAAAAATGCAAAGGATTTTACTTTAGCAACTAAAAATTCAGCATCTACGTCTCACTTAGTTTGTACACCAACTCTGGATCCAATTTCTATTTATTTATTTACTTAGGGAGTGGGGAGGAGCAGAGGGAGAGAGAGAATCTTAAGCAGGCTCAATGCCCAGCACAGAGCCCAATGCCGGGCTCAATCCCATGACCATGAGATCATGACCAGAGCCAAAATCAAGAGTTGGACGCTTAACCAACTGAGCCACCCAGGTGCCCCCCAATTTCTATTTAGTAGCAAATCCTGAGTCTGTTGGTTTGAAAATGCTGTCTTTTATCTTTACAAATATTACTTACCCCCTCATGTCTACCACCCCCCACCCCCCCCACCCACCCCCGGCAGCAACAACCATCAGTAGCTTTCCCACTCTCAGGCCCAAAATATCTGTGAAATTAGCAATGAAGGAACTACTCTACAGTGCCTTTGGAACAGAATTCTGTAGTTTAGTTTCCTCAATGGTATATGCTAAGTGAAACAGAGTAAGTTTGCCTTAGGTTGGGCTTTAAGTATTCCATTATTCCTTCATCTAGCCCCTTAGCAAATATGGCTTTGCATAATCGAAGTTTTATCACACTAATATTTCTTTCTGTTATTTATA